AGGGCGTGGCTGAGCCGGCATCCGTCCGTCTGTTCATTTCGGCAATCTGCCGTTCCATCGCCTCCAGCCTTGCATCCTGTGCGGCCCTTCCGGGGGACACAGGAGGCATTGCCTCGAGGGCAGTGTTTCGCTGAGCGGCCACAGCATCGTGTGGCCGCCTAAGGATTTGTGCCCCTCGCCGTTGGAAACGTCGTCCAACGGTGTTGATCCTTGGGGTTTCGTCCCCCCGCGAGATTTGGCGGGGAACTGATGGTGTGTGCGTCCTGAATGCAGTAGCGCTGATATTCGTTCGCCCTCCCGTTCCTCGGGAGCCTGAACCTCCACCCAGCCGCTCATGGACGGAGGGCCGGTGGTCGCTTGATCCTGTCGTATCATCGTGCGACTGCATACGGCGGATGGGAGAGAGGGGTGTTCGTTGGGTGCTTGCAGAGTACACCTGCTCCTGAGCCTCCCGCTCGTCTGCCAATCGGCGCATGGTGTCAACAAGTTCCCGCATGAGGCGGGGATCCTGCCTGGCCTCAAGGGGAATGAGGTCAGTGATACCCCCGTTCCCCCCGGCGGTCCATATCGTCGCGGATTGTTCCGAGTTCTGGCCGCGATTCCGGCGGCTTGATTCCAGACGCTCGGAGAGGTCACGCTGATTGTTACTTCCTGACATCGTGTTTTGTTGAGGGGCAGGTTGTTGCTGTTCTAGCAGGGAGAGTTTGGAAACTTTTAGTTCAGTTTCCCACAGACGACGCCAGTGTTGAGGTTAATTCCTTCAATCCTTGGGCCCAACACGTAAGCCCTAAGGATCTCGAGTGGAAGAGGTGTAGGAGTGTGTGGATATTTGGCCCAACAACAATCAGAAAGATCAGGAAACAGAAGAAATAGCAGGCAATGTAAATAGGTATTATTAACTTCGTAATAACTCCCCTAAGTACAATCTACTTGCTAAAAAGGCACGTCGGCCGTTCGTCTTACCAGGCAGTAGAAGTGCTATGAGTAAGAATGCTATAGCTAGAGTGCTAAGAGTAGAAAGTTGCCAACCCTTTACAATGAAATAAATGCTTCTATTTATACCCACCAATGGGCAGGTGGCTATACTGACGTGGCAGCCTGTGGACCGTTGGTGCCCCAACCACCAAATCTTCAGCATTAAATGCGCTTCCCGCCAGAATCTAGGTTTCCCGCCTAATTAGTGGGGACGTTCGTCCGCCCGAGGAGCGAGCTGGCTTGCTCCAAGTAGCCCCCCAGAGAACTGGCCGTTCGTCCCCTGGCCTCTGTGGATTCTCGCCATGCGGGCTAGACCATCTCCGATGGCTACGGGCTTGCTCTGACGACGTTCGTCGTCATTCTGATGACCCGTGGGCCTGCTCCCTGTCCCCGCATAGACGTCCGTCGAGATGGGCCGCTGGGCCTAACTCCCTATTGCAGACGTTCGTCCCTCCTGGAGGAAACATGGGCTCGCTAGGCTAGTCCAGTGGTCTAACCGGACGCACGTCTGGTAAGAAAGGGGTGAATGGGACGGACCCCGGGCTCGGGCCATTAATCCAACATGTAGTTTGGAGCCCATCTCTTGATCAACTTTGCCTTCTCCTTGTCTGAAGGCAGTGTTCCGGCTTCCTTGTATTCCATCAATTCTTCAACCCAGGTTTTTTGCCTTGGTTCGACAGGCAAGACCTCCAGGTCTTTTATGACCTCGATGTTGGGTTTATCCAGTTCTTGTATCTGGGCTATGCGCATAAGGTGCTCAGGCGCATCTTTGGTCAGCTTTGACAGAATGTCTGCCTCGTTGTTTTGGGCTCGGGGAACACATATCAGATCTGACTCCTCAAACTGTTTGATGAGTTGCAGAGCTACGTCCCTGTATTTCTGCATTCTTTCTTCTTTGGCTTCGTATTCCCCTCTGAGCTGTTTGATAACCAACTTAGAGTCGTTTTAATCCTCAGTTTTTGTGCTTTGAAGTGGATCGCTATCCTGAGGCCTGATAGCAGGGCCTCGTACTCATCTTCATTATTGGATAGGTTAAACTTGTATCTGAGGACGTGATAAGTTTTGAAACCTTCATGGGTGATGAGGACCACCCCTCCTCCGCAACCTTTGGATCCTGATGACGATCCATCAGTCATCAGGGTCCACCAATCCTCTTCTTTGTGTCTCTTTTCTTCAGCCAAGTCCCGGACAGTACATTCAACCAAGAAGTCTGCCAAGGCTTGGCCTTTGATTGATGATCTAGGTTGGAAACTTACTTGATACTGACCGATCAGCAAGGACCACTTCACAATTCTAGCGGTTTTAGCTGTCCTGAACAATGTGCCAACTCCCAAGCCCGAGAGCACTTTGATTGGATGAGCCTGGAAGTAATGCGCCAGTTTCTTGGCCGCTGTGTAAACTGCAAGAGCGGTCTTTTCCAAGACCGGATACCTGAGCTCAGCTCCATGAAGGACTTTGCTGATGTAATAGACCGACTTTTGCACTGTTCCTTCCTCGCGTACCAAAACAGAGCTAATTGCGCTTTTGGTTACTCCCAAATAGAGAGTGAGGGTCTCACCGGCTTCAGGCTTGCTGAGCAGCAGATCTGATTGTAAATACTTTTTGAGGTCCTCAAAGGCGGTTTGGAAAGACTTACCAATGTGGTAGCCCTAGGTGTCATATATATAATAAATATGTCCTGAGTACAATAGGAAACAATACAAATATGGAAACCTAATTAATGTTATTAATTACTCTATTACAATAATGCGGGATATAGAGAAGTTTTTCAAAGTTATGAAACTTCTTGGAACGTTGTTCATATATAAATTATTGTTCTATTTTATAAATTAAAGTTTCATGGCACACAATAATAATTGTACTATTAAGCTATTTAATTTTCACATAGAGCTTATTTTTATACCTTTTCACTTATTTTTATTTTACTTGCAATTTGTCATACGATCCAAATTTTAATTTTCTTACCACTACTAAAACATATATAATAAAAGCTAAACATATAATTTATATTGTCTTCTTTTATTTCACAAAATTACACATTATGTACAATCATAAAATATAATTTTATATAAATTACTATTCAATTCTAGATATACCCCGTGCATCGCACGGGTACTTGGTTTGGTTTGTATAAAATTTTAAAGAACCCGTAACGGGCTCACTACGGAGTACGGAGCACGCGATCCACACTCGTCAAAAAAAAATACGGAGTACTACGTGCTACTCAGTACTCATAGTACTCAATCGGATAAAAATTAAAAAAGAAACGTGTTCCGTCACTTCCGTGACCTCAAAATTCAAAAACCATCCCAAGCTAAATACATATGTATAGCAATTAGCAAATGCAGATGACACGTATTGCCACATTAATTTTCTAAATTATACGTATCCCAGGCTTTTTTGGATGGAATTTAAACTTAAAAATGAATTGCTTAATAATGCCCTAATGAAAAGTAAAATATTAAAAGTGCAATTTCATCACATCCCGTTTTCGATCGGTTTGGGACTGGTACACAAAATATGGATTCGGTGTCATTACGGGTCGGTCCATACGGTTCGGTACAATGCTTTTCAATTTTTTTATCCACCCTAAATTAGTTACTTTAATTGGATTTTCATTTTTGTAGTACTTTTCATTCTACTTCCTTTGTGTAAACATCAATCTTCAGTTTTTTATTGTTTTGTTTCTCACCTAATTTAAAGTTGACAAAGTGTAATAGAATGAAAATAATATCTTTTCAGTTATTATATATGTTAATTGTAAAACTTAGGGGTGACCGGTGGGCGTAGCTCAACTGGTATACAAGAGGTGTCACAAGAGGCAAGTATCGGGTTCAAATTTGGCAACTGTAATGAGAGATTATTATGTAAAATGCATAAAGCCTCTGCAAATACCTGTGTCAGAGCCTCGCTCGCTATATGTCAGCTTGTGATTAAAGTTCAATTTGGATCATCCATTTAACTAACCGATCGGTGTTGAAGGGCTCTCAGTGATGGATGTCATCCTTTTTTTTGTAAAATTTACGAGTGTGCAAAAAATCGAAAAGACATGATACCAACCCAAACAAACCGGAGCTTAATATTATTGAATCTATATTTTTTCATACCAACATCAAATTAATAGAAAACGGGATAGGACAAATTTGTACTTTAAATATATTACATTTCATTAAGCTTGGAAATTTTTATTCCCTCCATTTAGTTTTAAATATTAACTACATGATGAACCTGTGCGTTGCACCGGAAAAACTCATATTACTTAAAAAAAGATGGAATGAATATTTTATACTACCTCCGGCCCGAGTAAAGGTTCCCATTACATTTACGATGTTTGACACATCATAAAGTAAAGAGTATCTCCCATGCTACAATGTGCACGACACACATGTGACATGAGAGATAGCCACATAAATATTAGAAAATAAATTATTTCTCTCTTTATTTGAATGACTTTATACAATTTGGTAAGTTTCTCTCTGCAATGTCAAGAACACCGTCTAGATTTTAACATTGTGATTGACATTACAAAGAAAAACATACCAAAATTATATAAAATCATTCAAATAAGGAGAAAGATAATTTATTTGCTAAGATTTATGTGACTATCTCTCATGACATATATGCATTGTACATATTGTAGCATTGGATCCGATGCTCTAAGTCACATTTGTTAATAATAAAAGTATTTTAGTAAATAAAATTTACATATTCAAAATCTATATTAATTTTTTTGTAAAGTCACAAAAACCTAAAATTTGATAAAAGATGGATATATGACTTAAAAAATTAAGAATAATATACGACACATTTACTTTAGCTTAGGATGGTTTTGAATATTGAGATCTCACCTCTCAAAAAAAATTGAGATCTTACGGAACGTATTTAATTGTTATTTTTATCCTATTTTCCTGCCGTGTATAACAGCTGCGTGCTCTCTAATGAACCCGTTACGGGCTCGTTAAAATTTTCGTAAATCGAATTGATATAAGTCTCCTTTTTTACTCTAACCAGAGCTTAGGGGTGGAGGGAAGCCTTTGAGGCCCAGTATAAATTGGACCAGAGTACGGTTGGCCAGTCAAAACATATCCGGCCCAACCCAAATTTCTCAACCCAACACCCTCCTTCTTCGCTTGTTCTTCCTGAACTTCGCAAGGTAGCAGATCGGCAGACCCGGCAGACCTGTAACCGCGTCTCCAAGTCGCCCGCTTTCCATATGTCCGCCTCCGCCAGCGTCTGCCCTCCTACTCGCTCCTTCTTCCAGACGCCCACTCCGGCCTCTTGCCCGATCGGGTGATCCACTGACAGTCGGCGTTCTCTCTCTCAGACTCCCACTTCTCATGTCTGCCAGCCGTAGCCCATACGTAAGTTCTGTAACTTTTTTATTTTAATTTACTTAAAATAAAATTTTTAGTTTCTAATACATTCATCACACTCATTTAATATTTGAATGTTTTGTTTTATTTATATGATTTTATAAAACGTAAATTTGTTGCATGAATTTTCATTGTTTATATAGGTGAATTAATTGTGTGATTTCATCTCTGAAACTGAAAATTAGGGAGTGTAATTTTCTTAAAATATTATTAATCTGAATTATGTGATTGAAAGTAATATGTTGATTATTTCATTAATTTTGTCAAGGTGTGGCAAAAACAACATTGCATTATTTTTTTAAGCCAACTACAAGTACATACGACAGACAAGAGTTAAATTACTTGGCTCCAAATATTTCTTCCGTTAAGGAATTTGTTTCTGTTGCAATGTAAATTGAGCGTGATCTGGGTGTAACACCCCGGCCCCACCGGACCCGAGGTAGTTACTCCGGACCAATAGTACTGTCCCCACAAACCACCACGAGCCTTTACCGCGCACTTTGTCCTCACTCATGCGCGCCCTAAGAAACTTCCCAGGGGTCACCCATCCCAAGACTACTCTCGTGCAAGCACGCTTAACTTTGAATTTCTTAACGGATGAGCTCCCTTAAAAGGAGATGCACCTCTGTTGGTATGAGTAGTACTATTAATCCATTTCAATTTAATCTCAAGTGTTACACTGGGAAAATGGAAAAAATTAAGAAGCTGTTCTCTTCACCTGATCTGAATGTTTCTGAATTTTTTAAGTTCTGATCTGATCTGAATTTTTCTAATCTGATCTGAATCTTTCTGATCTGATCTGAATCTTTCTGATCTGATCTGAATCCTTCTGATCTGATCTGATCTCAATCTTTCTGATCTAATCTGATTTGAATATTTCTATAATTATAATTATAATTATTATAAATATAATTTTAATTACAAATATAATTTAAATAAAATTATAAATATAATCACAAATAGAAAAAGTATAATAATTAAACTTAAATTCAAAAATATTATAATTATACCTATTACACTAATTATAACTATAGATATAATTATAATTGTAATTATATTTTTAGTTATATAATCATAATTACTTATATAATTACTTATATAATTATAATTGTAAGTATAATTATTATATTTATTTCTATAATTATAATAATAAATATAAGTAATGATTATAAGTGTTTCTATAATTATTATTACTCCGCATGATAATAATAATTACAACAACAACAACAATAACAATAGTAATATTAATAATAATAATTATAATTATAACTATAATTATAATTATAACTATAATTATAACTATAATAAAAGTGATAAATCATGTTTGAACTTTTCTGATCTGAATGTTTTTGATCTGATTTGAATGTTTCTGATCTGGTTTGATCTGATCTGATTTGAATTTTTAGGATCTGATTTGAATAAAATAAGAATAAGCAATAAGTAATAAGAATAAGACGAAGAGAACAGCTTCTAAGTCATTGGCCGTAAGGGAAAAGTGATGAAATATGGCAATCTGATTTGATGCTTGGACAGAAACTCGACCTGAAATTAAGTCAACAGAAACTCATCTCTTACTCCCTCCGTAACAAAAAAATCTTCCCACTTTCCTTTTTCGTCCGTAACAAAAAAATCTTCCCATTTCTTAATCTTCCCATCATACCCTCAATAATTTTGAAAATAATACATTGTTACAACCACTTTTTTTGGATTTATCCTACATTCCATCACATTATTCTACTATCTTCCTATCATACTCTCAATAATTCATATCCTCTTTCACTATTCTTAATCTACCTGCTTTTGAAATGGGAAGATTTTTAAGTTACGCCGTATTCCATCCACTTATTCTTGAATTCAATTGGTTGGAATAGTCTCCAACAACACACAATGCACATTGTTTGTCGTGTTTTCTTTTTAGCGATGTGCATTCTTCTTGTGCTTTAGTTTTGGATTTGATAATTGTAAAGAATGCGTTTTTATTATGCATCTTGGTTCATCATCTTTACCACCTCATCTTATGGCTTCTTGAATGTACTGCTTAAAAATATTTTTATGAATTCTAATGGATTTTTCATTATGTTTGAACTGTATACTAATTACATTTTTTACACATTGTTTTTAGTTCATAACTGCATTACCTGGCTTTCCCGAACTTCTGTACTAGCAACACCCCTGGATACCCTGCTCTTCTTAAGCGATCTTGTCCTTTTTATGCTCTCCAATTGAGTGAGATTGGCCAATTGCCTTTACCGCAAGTGCTCACCGATTGGTTTCTTCTTCTGAAACATCATCAACCCAATCATGGCCGCCAATTTCTGGACCTCTTCTCACTAGTGCGATTTGTTCATATCTCTTTTCATATGTAACATTTCATTTCTATTATCTTTTTCTTAAATAATTTTATTTTGTAAAATTTTCCACTGTTTTCAAATTCCAGCAAGCAGCTTCTGGATTCTGAAGATCTGAATGTCGTTCATCAGCTTGATAGGGAGAGAGGTCTCACTCTTGAAGATTGCAAGCTCATCAAGATCCATATGTCCAACTGTATCTCTCTCTCTCTCTCTCTGATTTGTGATCCATATATGACTATGTGTTTGGCTTGTTCATCTAGATATCTTCCTTTCTTAGAAGCTTTCTTTTAATTTAATTACTGACTTTTGGTCTAATATAGAAACATATACGTATCAATTGTCATTGTAGTGTTTCTTTCTAGATTATGTTCAAAGACATACATATAATATCCACTAAAGCCATATGTTTTCTTAATCGAAGTTAATTTTTCTTCTGTTATACTGTTATTTCATACAATGTCTTCTGTTATAAGGTTGTGTAAGAAATTTCCATCGTTTTCATTGGATGTTATGTAATAGGCGAAAATATGAATAAATCAAACCTTTTCAAGCATCACAGTTTTCCTTATTTTGTCTTGCTTGTATGATAACCAATGATGCACTAGCATTTTATTTTTAAATTATAAGCATGTATTTGTGAATATGTTTTTCAAACATATGTATATTATATTTTTCATATAACATTGCTAAATAATTAATGATAAATAGTTAAAAATAAGCTACATGATCAAAATATATATTTATAACATATTAGTGCATATGTAAATGTAAAACCAATTAAATTTCCTGTAACACATTGTGTTATACAATATCACAAAGATGGTGTCCCGTAAAAAAACCACCCATAAACAGACACAATTTTCCACTAAAAACCTTATAAAAATAGATAAATATTCAAATCCAATTTTTTTGAAACACTAATTGGCTAGTAAGGAGGTTTTGTAATTGTTCCTAGTTACCGAAACAGCTGGGAAACGAGAATTTGAAGTTTCTGGCAAACCTCCGATTTTTTCAAACGTGATGTATGGGAAGTTTCTGTGCTTCTTAGCTTGAAATTCTCTTAAGTGTGTGTTTGGATCCTGGTTAGTGCCGCAGAAATGAAATACAATTCAAGGGAAATATTTTTGTGATATGTGTTTTACATTGGGAAATGCAATAGAAAATTAAATACGATCACTATTTTTTTCTTGTATATAAATTTCTTACTCTACATAAGCAGTACGAATAAATAAGATGAGTATTCAAGATTGTGTTATTTAGTTTAGCACCTTACCTATCATTTATAAATCCCCAAGGGTATATTTTTTCCCTAGCATTTTCCAGGTTTTATACGACTCTAAGGGTATATTTGGATCAGGGAAAATGCTAAACAAATGGAAAAATATGTTGTGGAAAGTCAATTCATGATGTTTGGCTTCACCATCGAAGTTCTATGTAAAACAAATTATAATCATCTCTTTTGAAAATAATTAATTATATTTATATTTCATACCCTTTGAATAATAGAATTAAACAAACAAAACGAGTCTGATGAAACGTAAAAAAATGTGTAGAGCTTGTTTCTTTCATTTACCCCCCTCCCCCAAATTTCTTTCCTTCAATTATCTTCTATGCTTTCTTCAAAATTTCTTTCCCTAGTATTTCCAAACAGACCAGAAATGAAATGGGCCTTTTCTTCATGCTCTTCCCTTTTATCACATGGTAGTTATATGTAATTTGTTTTGTTACATATGAAACAAGTTTGCTCTAAGACTTGCAATGTTAACACATTGTATGCTACTCTCTTCCATATACTCTGACTTCCAGTTTTCCCTATTTCCAGACATTGTAAGATTGGCCCAAAATGTTAAAGTGAGGCAAAGGTTAGTGTTTCCTTTTACTAAATCTGACTGAGTTGAATGTGTTTACACTTCTAATTTCTGCATCTAGTTTTGCTAACTTCTAAATTAATACTCTTTGAGACCTTGACTTTGTCTTGCAAAAAGAAAGTCATATTTTAAATGTTTTTGCCCAATAAGAGGTCTTATTTAATCAAACAAAATTAATATTTCATGTACACTAACATTTTTTGCCCAAAGAAGTACAAACAAGTTGAATATAATGCATATAGTTAAACAATTACGGAGTATTTTATTAAATTTGTTTTCATGGCATTTAACAGTTCTACCTTGAACATGCTAAGCCTTTTTTGGATGGAGGGAGTAACATCCCTTCAGCAGAAATATATGTGTCTACCATTATTTGTGACTTGTGAGAGTGCTTTCCCTGGATATGAGCTTGTCTAAGTTTTAACACAAGGGCCAAACACTTTGCTAATTTTCTTTCCACTTTAGCCAAGTTTTGCCACTCTCACTTGTTGGTTATTAGCAGGGTTATAGCTACTGCCATTGCATACATGAGACGTGTTTATGTCAGGTAAATTGTGATTAATACCCTGTCTGTAGTGTGTTGAACAATCAATTTTTTTTTTGTTTCTGTTGGTGGTTATATCAAATTGTTCTATTTTAAAAAAATCTATACAGAATAATTTTATGTTGCAAAGGATATTGACTTCGTTTATCTTCAGAATAAATTACATCTTAAAGATTTTAGAGCTACAATCAGCACGCAATTTCTTTTGCTGCTCTCAGAAAAAGTATGACGGAATATGATCCTCGTCTAGTTGCTCCAGCTTGCTTATACTTGGCGTCGAAGGCAGAAGAGACCACAGTGCCAGCTAGGAACGTCGTTTTTATAATCAAGAAAATATGTAAAAATGATAATTGATTATCACACTCAATATACACTTCGTGGTCCCTTTTTGGTCCATATATGATAATAATTCTATTTCACCTTTTCAGATTCGGATGAGAAGTACAGATTTGAAATAAAAGACATTTTAGAAATGGAGATGAAAATTTTGGAAGCCCTCGACTATTACTTGGTTGTGTTCCATCCATACAGTTCGCTAATACAGTAAGGAATACTTTGTAAAGCTTTTGCATATGTTACACAGATCAATGTAACTTAAGAGTAACTAATTATGAACTTTGAGGGGTCAAGTTTATTATCTTGATATATATTTGAGATTTTAGTTTTCATCATTTGTAATGGAGCCAAAAAACTCACTATTTTTTGGCTTGGGAATATGATGGAATAAAGCAAAATGGCTCACTAAATTGTCTACACTTCTTTGATATGAAGTAGCAGTCAATCCATGTAATTTCGACGTGATTTTCACTATGGATCATTTGAAAACAGTCTCTCTCTGCTTTAGTACAGGGGTAAGACTGTGTACATCCGACCCACCCTTACCACACTGTTGGTGGGAGCCTTTGCGGCATTGGGGCAATGATGATAATGATATTTGAGATTTTACCAAACTAGTTAATGACATAAAGCAGAATGGTCCACAAAATTGTCTGCGCTTCTTTGTTATGAAGCAGTCGTCGGTCCATGCAATTTTCGACTCGATTTTCACTATGGGTCATCCGGAAACAGTCCCTCCTTGCTTTAGTGCAGCGGTAAGACTGCGTACAACCAACCCCCCACCATAGGTGGGAGCCTTTGCGGCACTCGGGTGATGGTGATGATGAGTTAAATGACATACATAATAATATAATGTGTGATCATATAACATTTCAATCACCCTCTATTGTAGAAGAAGCCTCTTGAGTCTTTGACCTTTACCTCCTCTCCCAAAGGCCCCCATCCATACTGATCCCAGGCTACTTGTCATTTGTGTACTGTTAGGTTGCTGCAGGATGCTGGGATGAACGATGCAACTCACCTAACTTGGTACAAAACCTGTTTTTCATCTAGGCTTACTCTATCATATTTGCTGTTTGTGTTGACGCCAAACCACAATAGTAATAAGTCCTAATAACTAATAATAATAATATCCTAATCAATGGGGATTTCACATTTTTCAGGGGAATTGTGAATGATACGTATAAGATGGATCTAATTCTTATTCATCCACCCCACTTGATAGCATTGGCATGCATATACATAGCAAGCGTTTTGAAAGACAGAGAAAACAGCACTTCCTGGTTTGAAGAGCTTCGAGCTGACATGAACGTGGTATGCCTCAAACTAATATTTGTGATCCTCATAATAATTACATGCTTTTAATTTGTTATTAAGGGCCTGTTGGTAAGTGTAACTTGGCTGAAATATATCAAGGGTTTGTCGGTTTGATAACATTCATTGGAGCCAAAATCAGCCATTTTGATAAGGCAGATAATGGCTATCAATAGTGGCGGACCCACTAAAGGTCCCACGGGGATCCCATGGACCTGCAAAAAAATTAACATATATTTGTGTGTGTGTGTGTGTATATATATATATATAATTAACTAATACGTGTATATATAAAACAAAAACTGGTCTAGAACTCAAAGATTGAACCAAAGGAACGGTAGCACACACGATTCAGAGGTATCAAGGGCCTGTTGGTAAGTGTAACTTGGCTGAAATATATCAAGGGTTTGTCGGTTTGATAACATTCATTGGAGCCAAAATCAGCCATTTTGATAAGGCAGATAATGGCTATCAATAGTGGCGGACCCACTAAAGGTCCCACGGGGATCCCATGGACCTGCAAAAAAATTAACATATATTTGTGTGTGTGTATGTATATATATATAATTAACTAATACGTGTATATATAAAACAAAAACTGGTCTAGAACTCAAAGATTGAACCAAAGGAACGGTAGCACACACGATTCAGAGGCTTTTCTTCTTGAGGAGGTGCACGGATCAATTCCTCAATACAGAGAGATTGTTGTTTCCAGATGATCCATGGTGAAAATCGCGTCGAAAATTGCATGGACTGAATGTTGTTTCATAACAAAGAAGCGCAGATAAGTTAGTGAACCGTTTTGCTTTATTCCATCATATTCCAAACCAAAAAAATAGTGAGTCTTTGGTTCTATTTCAAATGATGAAAAAACGATTCTCTAATACGCCCCTTTTTAAAAAAAATATACAGATCAAGGGGCGCACCCTTAGAATTGTCTACTAGTGTACAACCATTAATGTCTACATTAATGTCTACGTGCTCTACTTTCTTTTAAAAGAAATTGTTTAGTAATACGACCCTCTTGTTATCATGCACCTCTTCATTGCCCAACTTTAATCTAATTTCCTAAAAAGGATGACACCCCATCCCTGAAGGTCCAACTTTAATCTAATTTCCTGAACCTCACTCTTTTGTTAAAAAACTTGAGTATTTTTTTAAATAAGAAATATAAAGCCGTTTTGTAGCCCCAAATTTCAGCTTTATCTGTTTTATCAACCAACTTTTTCATGAAACTCGTAATTTTTGACATCGTGCACTAATTGTGTAATAATCAAATAACTAAAGTTGGAATTACTTCTTCGGCTAGATGGATGAGGATGTTTTTACTTGGATTGAAATGTGCTGGTCTGGTCTGATTTGATCTGGTCTGGTACATGTCTAGTCTCTGTGTGTTTTTATTTTATAACTATGGAAGTTTGGTCTGGTTTGTTTAAGTCTTGTCTGGTCTGATTAAGTTTGTTTAAGTGTAGTCTGGGACTGAAAGCAGTCCAAATAAAAACATCCCGAAGTTACCAAGTTACCATAGAGCATCATTTTAGCTACTTTTTCATATGATTCTTCATCATATTTTACTTAAAACATACGTAGTATATTTAAATATAATTCTTTCATAAAATAGTAGATTCAGCCATTTGAGCCAGAATCTCATAATTTGACCTAATTTGGTCTCGTCTAAGACTGAAATCAGTCCAATAACAAAATCCTTAAAGTTAAACAAATAAATTTGTACTTGTATTAAATTAAAATAGAAACAAATCTGACGAATATATTTTAAATAAAATTCTAAATAAAATAACGTGAACTAATTTTACTAAAAATTCTTGTGGAAAAGGCTATAAATTGTTTTTTTTACCGAATAAGTTTATAGAAAAGGCTAAAAATTGTTTTGGTGTGGCCAATTAAATATCAATCAATCATCATTTACCCCAGTGACACAAAGGCTCCCACCTACGGTGGGGTAAGGGGGTCGGATGTACGCAGTCTTACCCCTGTACTAAAGCACATAGAGACTGTTTCCGGATGACCCATAATGAAAATTGCGTCCAAAATTGCATGGACTGACTGCTGCTTCATAACAAAGAAGAGCAGACACTTTTGTGAGCCATTTTGCTTTATTTCATCATATTCTCAAGCCAAAAATAATGAATCTTTGGCTCCATTGTAAATGAGGGAAAATGGCCAATTAAATATAAGTGTAAAAAGATTCAAACATTAAGTCTGAACGTTAAGTCTAAACATTTTTTCGTTATGACTGTGTTAATATTCTGATGATATATGTTACTGTGAAACGTTATGCTACTTTAATATTTTACTTTTTATATTAATATGCTACTTTAGATTTTGATTTTTTTGGATCCGCCATTGGCTACCGAGCCTAATAGTTGTCATACAATCTGACTCCCACCGATTTAACAGGTAAAAAACATAGCGATGGAAATATTAGATTTTTACGATAGCCACAAGATGATCACAGATGAAAGGGTAAATGCTGCAATGAACAAGCTGGCTGGTAAGTAAATGCGGGGAGAGCCACAGATGATTAGGAAGATTCAGTTGAAGAATAATGATTGTTTGGATCTGAGGTTGATATTGCGTACTTCTTACAATTCAAGGGTCGATAAAGAAAAGTAATTAAGGTATTCAATTTCCATGAATCCCTTGGTCAATGATGGATAGATTCCCTGGGGGGGGGGGTGGTGGTGGTGGTGGTGGTGGTGCAGAGATGAAGTCGTTACTTTGGATCTTGTGATTATCATTAGTTTAACTCGGCACATTGTATTTGTCATGCTTTGAGTATTCAGTAAGCCTCTTACCTTCGTATGGCACTGAATGAATTATAATTGCTGCATAATTATACTGTATCATGAAATTATTTACAACCGAGTTTTTGAAGGACTTCTGAAAGTTTATTCATTATTTTACTCCTACACAGCCAGGGGTGTTCATAAATCGGTTCAAACTGGAAAACTGGGTCGGACCAGACCAAAAAAACCGGAACCGAACCGGAGGATAGCCGGTCCGGTTTTCGGTTTTCAAATTTTATAAATCCGGTTTCCGGTCTGGTTCCGGTTAAAAACCGGATTGTTCCAGTTTGAACCGGATTAAACCGGTTTTATTATATTTTTAATATATTAATTGATAGTATTAATATAAAATAGTTATAGAATAATAAAATAATAAAAGCAATAAAAAATTAAATATTAATTGTTTTAATATGTAGTGTATATTGTCATAATGTTTTAATCATCTATTTATTCTTATTTTTCTTGATAATAGTATTAACTAATATCTACTAGAAAGAATGACTAAAATAATACCCTCAGCTTATAGATGTACAAAAATAGGAGTACTAACTTATACGGACATAAATAACACCTAAAAGATTTTAAAAGGCTGAAATACCCCTGCAGCTCCACGTCCAGTATTTCTCAGCGAAGCACCTGTGACCTGCTCTTCCCCCATCACAATCTTCGCCGCCTGCCAATCGCCTCACCATTTCCGCCACTTGCCATTCTTTAATCGCCTCCGTCGGATTCTTCTTCTCTGGTAATCATCTCTGCTCACAAACCCTAATACTCGATTGGGATCCAAATCAGGAGCTCAAGATGGTCGCTGCTCATTCTCAGATCTCGGTGGTGCGAGGACGAGATTGGAAGGGCGACATTGAAGGAGGACGATATCCTAGCGCGGTGATGGTGGCTAAGGGTGACAAGCGGAGGCGGTGGTGGGCTGGCCGTGACGGGATCACGCGGTGGTGTGGGACCGGTGGTGTGCGGCAGATGGGGGCGGGATGTGTTGTTGCGCTGCGAATGTGAAGGGGCTGGGGAAGAGTCAGTGGCACGGGAGGGGGCCTCTGGTGGCTGGGGTGGGTGGCTGGGAGCTGGTGGTGGCTGGGGTGGGTGGCTGGGAGCTGGTGGTGGCTGGGGTGGGTGGCTGGGGGCTGCAGTGGGCAGGGGCTGCAGCAGGCAGGGGGGCTGCAGGGGCTAGGTAGGGTCACTGTGGGGGGGTGGCGACAATGCCGCCGATATGGTAGCGGAGATCGTCGTCGTGACAACAACGTTCATTGGTGTCATTTGGCGGTTTTGATTACTGACGGTAGCGGTGTACACTTGGCCAATCGTCATTCGTCACCGGTGGTGGGCCACTGATACGGTAGGTCATGGAGAATCAGTAAAATACAAAAACGATGATAACTATGCAGTACTAATTGGGATGGAGGGTCACTGGAACGATAGTAATTGATACGGTGATTACTAAGGATGTAGTAACTAGAATGGATGGTCACCGGAGCGGTAGGTCATCGGGAAAAAATAGTTCCCAAATCGATGTTGATGATAATTGCAACCGTGGTCACTGAAGGGGTAGTAACTGGAACATTAGTCATTGGAGCGGTAGTAACTGAGTTGGTGGTCAGTGGAACGGTAGTAACTGAGTTGGTGGTCACTAAAGCGGTAGTAACTGAAACGATGATCACTGGAGCGGTAATAATTGAGACGGTGGTCACTGGAGCGGTAGTAACTGAAACGGTAGTAACTGAGACGAAGGTAACTGGAGTGATAGTAATTGAAACGGTAGTCACTTAAATAATAGTAACTGGAACGGTGGTCACTGAGAGGATGGTCACTGGAGCGATAGTAATTGAAACAGTAGTCACTTAAACAATAGTAATTGGAATGGTGCTCACTGGGAAGATAGTAACTAAAACAATAGTGATTTTTGGTCACTAATAATTTTTTGTCACTGGTGAATTTCGGATGTTTGGTCACTAATGATTTTTGGTCACTGGGGAATTTTGGATGTTTGGCAACTAATTATTTTTAGTCACTGGATGAATTTTGTAACTATGTCATTGGTAACTGTAACATTGGTCACTGCACATTTGGTCACTGTGACAGGTTACTGTAGCAGACCAGTGGGTTTGGGCATAGTAAGGGTGTAATAGTCCCTTAAGTATTATTTAGTCTTATTTTTGGAATTTAAAAGAAAAGTCTCTTTTTTTGTCCAAATGCTTTTAATTAGTATTATTTGAGGACAAACCCCTATCTACTATTCTAGTATTCTACACTCAAATTGCTTCAATCTTTACTCTCTAAGACTAATAAATATAATTAAATAAATAATACTAGTAATAGTAATATTGCTATTCACAAATACCCTTATTTTTATTAAACAAATAAGTTTTATTTGCTAGTAAATTAAATTAATAATTGAGAAACTGGTTTTGCGGTCCGGTTTCGGTTTTGAACTGGTTAAACCGGTTCGATTCCGGTTCAAAACCGGAATATATCCGGTCCGGTTTTCGGTTTCTATTTTCTTGCAAATCCGGTTCCGGTCTGGTTTTGAACCGATGCACATCCCTATACACGGCCACACGGCCCACACCTTCACGGTTTCACGTACATGTATCATAGGGGCTTTGTCACGAATACTATTAAAAAATATAGTGCACAAATATGTGACATTTCTTTTTAATTTTCAAAAATGTGATTTAAAGGGGTAAATAAACCATTTCACTTTTAATAAACCAACTAACCCGCTACAATGACCAATACTATTGTGATTTCTGTCGAGTGACCAATTGACTTCCGCCCAATGATTAATTGACAAAGGTGATTGTGAAAACATATGCAACATTAGTGGTGATTGGGATTAAAGGAGGGTCAGAAATGTTGTATGTAGATGTGATTTTTGACAATTTGAAATTTATATTTTGAAATATTGAATTTCTGAAAGTTAATTATTGTAAGCCTTTTTGGGTAATTGTAAATTGGATTCATATAAGTTCCCTTTTTAATCTAACAAGGGCTAACAAAAAAAAGAGAGTGAGTGGATGGAGCCCAAGGTTTAGGCGATAGCTTTGAACAATTTTCTGTAGAAGGGCTGGTGGTGCGCGGCGTGACCGGTGGGGATTGGAGGGACGTATACTTCTAGGGAAGTGGCTTGACGGTTGGGCTGAAGAATAAATTGGTATGTTGCTTCAGATTGTCTCATCCAAGGGAGGGCATGCACAAGTTTTGGCTGAGGGTTTGACCAGCGGCGCGGAGAGGCTAGGGGGTTGAGGAAGAAATAGCCAGTTTTGTGTTGCGGACGTCTCTGTTTGGCAAAGGCGGAGGTCTGCGAGGGGTGTGCCAGAGGAAGACGCGGTGGATCCGTAGGTGAGGAGCCGGTGTGATGGGAGTTGTCAGTGGACTCAGAGGTGACTCTGGACCAGTGGCGGTTAAGGTTGTGAAGCTTGATAATCCGATGTTGGGTTTGGCAATTCTGGATTGGGAAAACTGTCAAATAGGTCCCCGTACTATTGTCAAAAAGTCAATTGGGTCCTCGTAGTTTTTTGTGAGTCAATTAAATGCGTGAAGTATTAAAAATTAACCAATTTCACCATTTAGCCAGTTGACCATATGCAATGCCGGTTAATGCTGACATGGATGGCCATATGGTAATAAATTTTAGTTTTTCCATTTTCTTTTCCCATTTCTCTTTTCTTTTTCTTTTTATTTCTTTCTCCCTTTCTTCTTGATTTCTTCTCTCCATGATCTTCTGCGTCCCTCCAGAGCAGATTCTCTCATTTTCATTTTTTTCTTTCTTCTTCTCTTCTCGATTCTCTTTCTTTAGATGGGCGCCGGGCAACGGCAGTTGGAGAAGTCAGAAGTGTCGCCGACGGGGGCGGCCGGCGTTTTGGGAATATATGTGTTAATTGTGAACGACGGGAGGCGGGAGATGGAGGTTGGAGAAGTAGTGGGTGACGGGCAGCGACGACAAGACCGGTAAGCAGTGGATGTGGCATATGGGTGGCAGATTTGAGATGGTTGGGCAACGAGCGGCGTGCAATCGCGGTTAGGGAAGCTTTGGGCAATTGGCGGCGCGCGGCGGAGGTTGGGAAAATTGTGGCCGGTAGACGGACGATGGCGGCAGTTGAAGGAGCTGTGGGTTACAAAGGTTGTGCTCTTTGCCGGAAAGAAATAAAGCAAATAAAGAAAAAAAATGTAAAAAAGAAACAAGGAATGAGATGCGCAGATGAAGAACTCAGAGAGCAGGTGGTCTCAGAGAAGAAACTAAGAAAGAGGAAAGCACAGACTAAAATGAAAAAGAAAAAGGAAAAAACATCCACGCAGATTGCCACGTATGAATGCCTACCAGGTGATCGACTCTCAACCGACTAAGAGATTGATTTGATTATTTTTACCACTTCAAGGACTTAATTGATTCACGAAAAAGTATGAGGACTCAATTGACTTTTTGTCAATAGTATGAGAACTTATTTGACAATTTTCCCTTCTGGATTTGATGGTGTTTGAGATGAAAGCTACACCAGTTGAGTTTTATCTAGGTGGAACACTGATGGTGTGGAGTCTGGCAGAAGGGGCGAGCTTGGGTTCCAATTGGATGGCTGAGGGATTGGTACGAGTGATTTGGCTGACTCAGGTAGTGGAGGGAGAAAACGGCATGTGGATGATTCGTCCCCCTCCGGAACCGCCACCTCAGAGGCACTTCAGGACTAGGTTATGGAAGAAGACGTCTGTGGTACGTATTTTACTGCTCCACTAGTTGAATTTTAGTTTGCATTTGACTATTGTTTTTTCCATGTTTATTTTTATTTTTTGATCCTTTGTGGTTTGGTTGGGTTACGCTTTTGAGGTTGGTAGATATTGTTGTCGAAGAAGTAAGATGGCTTCAAAAGTCGAGATGATCTTCAAATCGCTCAGATGGTCAGAGACTCGATCCGCTCTCATTCGAGTTAGAGTGATCGTTTCTATGTCTAATCAGAGGACAAGAGAACATTCGAGTTATGACGAGTTTGGTAGTAGGAGGCTGCTTCGTATGAATAAGTTTGCATTGTCATTGATTGTTGGATTTTAATATAATCACATAGTTTGCTTTAAAAAAGGTTGTTTCTAAACACAGCCCTCATTTTACTAAGTACAGCCCC